TGTGTGTTTGCAAGGAAACCAAGAAAGGCATTAAAATGGGTCAATAAACAACATCTGCCTCTTTGGTGTGAGTAGTGCTTCAAGGTCATCTTCTTTCACCAGCTCGGTTTAACCTGCATGAATCTAATCCATCAAATCAAGTAACTATTAAACTGCATGTATGATCAATGTTAACATATTAAACAGCATATCAATTATTCAACAGGAAATCATGGCATTTAGGAAAACTTAGTAGAATTTTAAGTCATGCAAATAACATTAATAAAGGTCAGATAAGTAATGACAAAGGTGCATTAGTGTTTTTTAGAAATGCAAAGTAATCAGTATGTGCTCAGGTATTGTATAAGTGTAATTATATACACAAACCATATAAATGGATAAAAGCTAGTGGCTGAAAAGCAGGGCAAGGTCAAATCTGAATTATTTTTGAACTCTCCGGCCTTGTTTATAAAAGTTGGTGTAATCTGTTGAGCTCCTTACAGTATCTTTGCCATTTTCGTAGCTCAGAGTGTGATTCATCCTGTGTTAAATCAGAGTCTGTGATCATAAAGACAAGATTAAACTACTTTTAAATAAAAATCGTTTAATGTCCCCTTCTGGAATTTTATTTTCCCAAAAAGTAAAAGCAGTCATCCTGCTTCTCTCTGGACTGTGTAACCTATAGTCTCTCAGCTTTGATCCAATAATCCCTATTAATTTAGAGGTCATCAATTAGCCACATAATGACCTATTGAGCAGACTCAATTTTGGTAGGGGTAGTTTCAACCCTTCTGGTGAAAGTCTCAACACAAAAAAGCACATATCTAGAACATTTCACCCTGTTGTCTCTTCCCATGTCAACAAAATCCATAATGACTCCCATCCAAGGCTCGCTAGCAAGGGGGAATCCTTTCATCCCTTTCAAGTAGCCTGAGGGTTAAAATTTGAACAAGTTAAACTTTTGACCAACTAGGCCGGAAAGTTTTTTTTCCAGAATTGTGGCTCCTGTGGTGAGCTTCCTCACAGAGTGGAGGAGTGACGAAGAGGCCACAAGTCTCTCATGGTTTGAACTTCCACACCCCAGTTTCCTTCTTCTTAGATGCTCCCTTCTCAACCCATGCCTGTTTCTCATTGGGGTGCACCAGCTGTTTGGATGTCAATGATTTTCATCAACACTGTGGCCTGTGGGGTTAAGGAAATGTGCTGCAGGCCATGTGTTTTTTCAGTAATCAGCAGCATTTTCAGAAAAGAATAGAAAATCCCTATATTGTCCCACGATGGGGAAATTGTGGAGTTTAGAGCAGCAAAAGGTTATAGTAGAAGTGGTCACATAAATGTGCACCTTAGAAAAGTGTTTAAAAATAACAGAAAAGAAAATAAACAAAAACAGTACTCTACTGTACAATGTTTTTACAATATAAATACTCTGTTATTCTCCATTATTAGTTTTGAAGTGCTACACTAATGTGCACTTAATACCAGCAGCTTTCTCCGGTTTTGGAAAACCCTCTTTTAAAAGAGCATCTGTGCAACATGTTTGACAGGTTTTCCAGCGGTGGTCAGAAAATCTATATAATTATATTCAATAATTTACTTTATGTTGACACTCTGGCTGTTCTCTCTTTCAGCAGGGCTGGCTTTGAGCAGTTGCTGCATCTCTACTGTCACTGTAAACTGAGCACAATTAGTATGATGCAAAAAAATAAGAAATACAAATGACTAAATGGGAAGAATTTTATTCTGAATTTTTGTTTTCCAGTCCTTAATTATTGTTGAATGAACGAATGAATAGGAATTTATTTCAGACAATTTGACAAACAACAATAAATGAATCAACCAAATACACAAAAAAGACTAGTTAACATCAACCAAACCAAACACCAATTTCCACACTAAATTCATCTGAACACAAATAGAAACAAAAACCCTCTCCCAAATAAACCTGTCGGTATATACAGGTAAAATATTGTTACCATTATAGTAAATAATTATATAAAAACATTTTAACAGTGTGAATAAACACTATCAAAGGTCAGCTTTATTTATTCTTTCTAGCTTTATTGCGTTGCTTTCCAATAAAGACTTGCCACACACAGTATGACGGACCCGTACACGTATGGTTTTACGGGTCAATCCATGGCCGGTTTTTGAGCGTGACGCTTAATTCACGCGACGATTTTTCCTCCGCACATCCTGTACACAGATTGACATCATCACCACCCAATCAGAGTAAGGCCTGGTGATTGAGGAGCCAATCACCTTCCAAAGGCTCAGATGTCGCTTTGTGGTCGGCTATGTTTTGGTGTAGTTGGCGAAAACGTCCTGGGACATTTACCTGAAAAAAAAAAAGAAAATTAATAATTACAAGAAAAAGGTTTTCATGGATACCGGTTTCTGGTCCTCGTTTTTCATAAGTGTCCTCGCACTGTAAGAAGTACAAATGCCGCAGTTTGTTTTGGCTAACCTTGGATGCAACTGTTTTTAGCTCTGACCAGCTGGCACGGCGCGAGCAAGCTAAAAGGATATTTGAACTGTCCGGGGGTTATTATTAGCAATGAACGAATATTCGTTCACTTTGCCTGTTTTTCCCCTGTTTTCCTCAGGACCATACAGATAAACTGTTGGAAGCCGAGAAGCTGCCCGTTACCGCTGCATGTCGGGCCGAGTAGAAATGGACGCCCCTGTCCCATTAATTTCAACAGATTTTCAACGATAACCACCAGCGACCCCCGAATCAGCGCTGCTCACATCAGATCGTGGTTGTTGGAGTTTTCTATGACCCCCTCGGTCTATGCCCAGCTAGATTCGGTGGAATTGTTTCTGGACGAGCTCCCATATATGTTTTATTTGGGCCTGTTTTTTGTGAACGTCCTCATCCTCTACTATGCTTTTCTAATGGAGTACATCGTCCTGAATGTGGGGATAGTATTCTTACCTGAGGACATGGATCAGGCACTGGTGGACCTTGGGGTGCTGTCCGACCCGGCTTCCGTACCTTATGACACCGACCCGGAGCTGGATGTGTTTGAAGGATACCTGGAATGACAGGGTGGGACTGAGGAAGCACAGAGATGGGGACATGGCTCACAATGGGTGCTGCTGCAGGCTACTTCTCACAGAGACATTTGATTGAAAAAGTTATTTTCTTAAGCTAAAATATACACAATGCCAAAACAGACAGGTTGTCTTGGCTCCAAGTTTGGTGGCCGGATGAAGATTAGACTGATGACCATCTCTTCTGCAGCACTGTGATGTGCAGCACCTCTGGCTTTGGCTTCAGACACAATGAAAATGAACTCTCCATGTGCTCCCAGTAAAGACTGAAAGCTATTCTCTCTTACTAAGTAATAGAGGATAGCTGTGATGATTTGCATGAAGATCCACTTCTTGCTCCAACAACAACAAAAAAACTTTCCATCTTATTTTTATTTGAATAAAAATACCTAAAAAAGGAGAAAACAATAAAAAAAACTAGTCATATCCATTTGAGTGTCTTCAGCTACTCAATGAAACACTGAGAACTGTTTCATCGTCCACTTATAGGCACGTTTAGTGTTTGATCACTCAAAGAAGCAGAATCTATCGATGCTGCAGCTTGTTCACTAAGTCAGAATAGGTCTTTTTTAGGTTCATCTCTGTATCCCAGCATCATCAGGAACACACACACTCTCAGGAGTAAAGTTAGCATCTCTGGGTGTACTGGTTAGACAAAATGCTATTACTGGATATATGCTGTGAAGCTTTGATATAGTGAAACAAAATGAATAAAGTTCTGCTTCTTATGCTGTTTTTACTACCGTGTTTAAAGGGATTTTTGTTTTTTACAGTTTCTGTTCTGTGCGAATACATTTCAGTTTTCCTGCCAAATGTTTTCAGTGTTATAAATGAAAACCTTTGGAGGAGATTTTTATTTTGTGTTCAACATGGGATTTAATGATGACTTTGAGGGACTTTGCATGATTTTGTAATTGCCCCCCATGTTCTGACTCTGTTTATTGAAAAACAAATCTGAATTTCTTTTCGTAAAGCATATTTTCTCAAAAGCAAAAATAAGCTAGCAATGTTCAATTAGATATTAATGAGACCACTCACCTAATTTAGTAAATATGTTTACTAAAATGCTAGAATTGATACTATATTTTGTTTATGATGCACAACATGTAGGGCAGATTAGACAAGGACAACAGAAACTAGTATTTTTTAATCCATAATATTTATTTACCACAATAAAATGAATTTCTATTCTGCATTGAACTAGTCAGCTGCTGTATGGAGAAAAAATGATGCAGCTTTTAAACTTTAATCTATTTTTTATTTTTTTTTTTTGATGGCTGATCTTCAGTCTGTCTTCCTGCCCCCTCTTCAGACTGCCCTATTTTTCATTTGACTAACACTGCCTGGTGTGCTAACATGGCTATTTGGATAGCCCGAACAATCTTGAATTAAACAGTAAATGTAAGTATTAACACCACGACGTAGACTGTTTTTTTTCAGAAACTTTGTGAGATTAAAATCAGTGCTATATTTATTCAAATCAGGTTCTGTGTGCATAAAGCCATGTACCCATGAGTATTTTTTTTAGTACCAAATTAAAATAAGCTAATGGAAATTACAATTACAAATAGCAGTTACAAGAAATTTTGATTTGCCCACATAAGCAATTTTGATTAACTCTAAATTTACTTAAAAGAGATGCACCTTTTTAGTTTCTGTTGTATGATCCACCTGGACCTACATGCAGCATCACTATTAATTGTATCTGAGATCTAACATCTGAGCCATATTAATAAACTTTGTTAAGAAAGTGTCAAATTATTTTGTTTACTGAGACCCATAATGTGTAATTATAGAACTGAAATCCCTTGTCAGAAATCGTAAAATCACATTTTTGATCTAATATCCCAAATATACACTTTTGCTATGTTGTTTAATTCACCTATGTTTCACCTAGAAATAAAGAAAGTTTTCAAATAATTGGATTTTGTATTTATTCAAGTTAGAACAGTAGACACAACCATGCAGAGCCAAAAACCTGATCCTGAATGTGGAGAAAATGAAGGAGATCATTGTTGACTTCAGGAAGAACTGGCCTTACCAGGCTTCACTGCTCATCAACAGCTCTGCTGTAGAGGTGATCAGCATCACTGAATTCCCGGGGATGCACATACAGAAAACATGACTTGGACTGTAAACACCACCCCACTGGTCAAAAGGGCACAAAAGCGCATGCACTTCCTGCAGAGAATAAAGATAGCTCACCTGCCCCCACCCATCCTCACAACCATCCAAAGAAGCATCATAGAGAGCATTCTGACCAGCTGTCTCACTGTGTGGTGTGGAGGCTGCAGCTCCTCAGACTGGAAGAAGGTGATAAGAGTGGTGAGAACAGCAGAGAAGATCATTGGGGCTCCTTTTCCCTACATAAAAGACATTTCATCTCAGTGCTGCTCCTCCCGAGCCGCTAACATTATCAATGACCCCTCACACCCCCACCAGACTGTTCTCCCTGTTGCCCTCTGGGAAGAGGCTTCCTAGCATTCAATGCAGGTCCGAAACAGCTTCTTCCCCACCGCCATCAGACAGCTGAATGTTGAAAAAACTCCAAATCAGCTCACAGATTCTGCATCAAACTAATCATATCAATACGGTTTTTTGCACCATGTTTTTGTCCCACAATGTTTACATTTGATCACTGCATCACTTCAACAAAATGGAAATGTCATGAGAGCTGTTCAAAAGGAAAATTAAATTTTTATACACTCTGTATACAAAATGACTAAATGTTGTCTTAGTCAGTTCTTTTGTTATTACATTTAATCTGGAGTTTAAAAAACATTTTAGTTTTCAAAAGATTAGATTATAGGTTTCATTTTCTGATTATGCGATATGGTTTACCTTAAGAATATTTGCTTTTCCAATAGTTTACTGATTCCTTTATGCAGATATGGTCTGATAATTAAATGAACTCTTTATAGTACGGTAAATATATTTGACGCTTTTAAAGAATAATTATCAAAAAAAATCTAAGGAATAAATTCAACTCATTATTAGGATATATCATATTATATAATTATATAAGATTATTAGGACACTTCATACTATAATCTTTTTTTGCAGTATTTGACCCGGCCCAAATAATAAACATATTCCGCCCATGAGTAAGGCTGAAAATCTAGTCCTCGTACTTCAGCTTCCCTTGTTTCCTGTTAAATCAAAATTAAAATTCAAACTTTATAACATATAAAGCCCTTAACAGATAAATTCAATCATACATCAGAGATGTACCGGTATTCGTGTTATGCTTCATCCTCGACCAGGTCGCAGGGGCAGCAGTCTCAGTATCAAAATTATTCCATATGCTAATAGCAGAACGATTAGCTCTCCATCCCTGCTGGTGGTTCCTGACATTTCTAAAATTAGACTTATTAGTTTTTGGGCTCTCCTGCGAAACCAACCTCCAGTTTTGGTCAGGCAGGCACCCTGTCTACTTAGGACGAGGCTTAGCACTTTTATTTTTGATAAGGCATATACTCTGACTTGCTCAATTCACTCTACTATACTTGTAGTTATGCTGCTATAGTCTTAGGCTGCAGGAGGATATAAATACCCCTTTTCCTCACTATAGTAAATATTACATTCTACTATTTCCAAATTTGCATTATTTGTTTGCTTCATCTTTGTGTTCTCTCTGCCTTTTCTCTTCATAACAGCTACATCTGGCTTGTTGCTCTCTGCCTACTGTAGCTCTATATATGCTTGAGCCGCCAGGAGCGGCCCCTTTTTTAACCTCTTTACATTGCCTGCAAGTACATTTTTAGGATTGATTTTAAAATAATTTTATTTGATTTAAAAGCTTTTAATGGCCTTGCCCTGCCCTACCTGTCCATGCTGCTACACCCCAACACTCCATCTCGTGTCCTTAGAACAGCTGACCAGTTGTTACAGAGGGTGCCAAAGACAAAACCCAAGGTCAGAGGAGACCATGCTTTTTCTAGCGCAGCTGCAAAGCAGTGGAATGACCTTGCCTTAGCCATTAGATAGGCTTCTTCACTTTCAGATTTTAAATTCCTCTCAATACCCATTTCTTTTCTTTGGTTTTTGACACAATCTGAGAATGATTTCTTTGTTTTACTGTTTTTTTTAATTTTTTTATTATCATTTCTTCATCATTACTTTATCTATTGTTTTATGACTGATTGGTTTTATGTTATGGTTTTGTTGCGTATATAGCATGTTGATTCTTTTGGGTAATTAAAGTGCTTTATAAATACATTTGGTATAGTATGCCTGGTGTGAGGAATTGCTGTAGAGTCAACAACACAATGACTAACTGTCTATTATAGCAAGATGCTCATCCTGTATGAGTGAATGACTTGACCAGTCTGTCTGTTTAATCTTATTGAACTGACTCTATAGAGTGCCTTGAGATGATGTGTTGTGAATTGGCACTATTTAAATAAACTGTATTAAATTTTTAAACAGATATAATCTTACTTTGTATTTTTTTCTCTAATCCACATAAATAATAAACATCTAACGGTTAAAATACATGTATAATGGTCATGGATAATTATCAGCTGGTACAATGGATACATTGTTGTTTATAGCAGAACTCATTGATAGCTGCTTCCTGGAGTGGATTCAGATTTTAAGCACCGTCCAAACATTTCTAATAGGTTAAACGTTGACATCTAGAAGCATCCGAATCAGTTTTCTCCAAGGTCCACCCATCTTGCACTAGATTTGTGACGAAGTGTAGGAACTTTGAAGTGGTCCTCTGTTTTACTACATTGACTTTGTGCAAATAAATCCATTTAGCAACTAAATAAAGCATCAGTGTAATGCATCCAGCTCAATGCTTGACAACTGGCACAATTATCTACTGAAAGTCTTGACACATTCATTTACACTGACCATAAAAATGTTGCCTGGTAGACATTCGGATTGTTGAGACTAGCTCCTGCAAATTTCCATCTGGTTTTTATTTTGTTAAATATTTTTCATTATGTGTTGACATTTTTATGTCACTGAGGGCTGTAAGAATAACATCTTAAGCTTCTTGATGGTTACAAAAAGCATGTGGTTCACTTACTAGGAAAACTTTTAACAAATATTGTTATTGGATTTATGTTTAAAGTTAATTAAGGTTAAGCCAGTATGTAGAATCCACATAATTTTAACACCTATGCACTATATTTAATTATTCAAAATGGTATAAAGTAAAGTTTAAGTGCTTCTCTTAAAGCCCTTAATGACTCAATGAGGTTCTCTATTTGGGGATATGTCAAATATTAACCACAAGGCGGCAGTAGAGAGCAACAGTTCACCTACCAGTTGAAATAGCGGAAAACTGAAGGTTTTACAAGCTTTTACAATTTATGTATCTTCAAATAGTTTGT